TTATAATAATATCAACGGTTTTGATAAGAAAATAAAAGCAACTTTGTTGTATGAGTGAAATAAGTTTTGGATGGAGTGGAATTTGCTATTCATTTATTACTCTACTTAAAAGATAATCAGCCCAGTTATGGGTCTAAGATATGGAATAAGAGGCATGGACTTGAGATTCTAGATATGAGGACCTAAAAGGTGCTAGTAAAAAATACAGGTGTAGTTATATGTGATTCCATTCGAATAAAAAAGATACATTATTTAGGCCAATTATTAAGTATTATAGATGGTAAAATACGGAAGTTAGAAAATTCTCTAACTAATGCAATAAAATTAGTAGAAATGAATATCTGGGTATTTATTTAAGATTTATAAAAAAGTTTTCAAATAAATAAATATTATTATACAAATAAAAATGAAAATAAAAATCATCATTCGATGCGAAATTTTAAAATCAATAGATACCATATTTCTGTGAAATATAAAAAATATTAGAAATCGAGAAAATAAATTAAATTATATAATGTGTTATTTTGTAAAAATAAGATTTGAGCGAATAATATTATATTCAATATTTATTTTGTCTATTAAAGAATTGTCAAATAAAGGATCGGTAAAAATGGAACTTCTTATTTTAATTCATGACTTTTTTTTCCTTTTTAGCTTTCACTTTTTCTGGTCGTAAGCTATTTTAATATCTCTCTCCACTCATAAATATTTCAAAAATTTTAGCTCAAAAAAATGGTTTATTTATTTTTGATCACTTTGAATTTAATTTAATTAGGTTAGGACTCGTCGCTAAATATGGAGATATACTCAAGCGGTGTGTAATTTATCGAAAAACGATAACATAACTGTATAATTTATAATTATGTATTTTGTAAATTAAGCAACAGTATTTTGCGCTTATTATACGAATCCTAAGGCTGAATATCACGGAGGATATGAAATGCAATCTAGCAGATGATGACGATTTAAGGATTATTAAATAAAGATAAATTGTCGATGTCAAAATATTTTAAATAAACCGATTATAAATAAAATTAATAAAAATAAAGGGGAAAAAATGATCCCCTTAAAAGATTTTAACAAACTCGATCAGCTGTTATATGGCCTTCATTATAACCACTATGAATTCATCCCTAATATAATTGTTTTTATGTTTAAATTTCGAATATAAATTTTTAAATGATTACGTAGGAATCATCATTCCAATAGATCCAGAGAAACAGGAATAGGATTTTCATGATTTTTATAATAAAAATAAATCAAATGAATTACGAAAACATTTTTTTCAAATATAATAAAATATTAAATAAGGTTCTTCGATTACAGAAAAGTATTGAAGTAAATTACATAAATTAATTTAAATTAATCAAAATCTTTAAATTTATATTTGTACACATTTTTTTTAATGTTAATGTCTTATTTTTCTTGTCAATTTAATATTAAAATTTATTTCATAAATTTAGGTTCTAGAAATATTATATAATTTGTATATTTATTTTTTCTTCAATATTTCTTATGAAATATATTATCTTTTCTGGCTTATTTTGATTTTATTTCTTCTATAACAGAGATTTTAAATAATTAAATATTTTTTACACTAAGACAAATTATCATTATTTAAATAAAGTCATACATTTCTACAAAGATATTATACTAATAATAAGTTAGTAGAACTATATAGTAAGAATATATTCTCGAAGTTCAAAAATATATTACAAAAATTTCAGAAAAAAAATATAATCTTCAAAATATTATTAGATATTTTCACAGTCTCTATAAGACTTATTATAATAAATATTTTATGAACCAGATCATTCCATCTGGAATGGCCTAAATAATAAATCGAGTAAATATTGTTTTATTTTATATTTTAAATAGCCTTTCTATTAATTCATTACATATTTTTTTATACCGATATTTAGAAGTATTAAACTTTGACTGCCTTCCCTGAAACCTGATTGCAAGCACGATAAGTGAATATGTAAATTCTCTTAAGTAATAACGTCAAAAAAAAATTAAATATACATTCAACTTATTTTAAAGCTGACATTTTTTAAATAGAAAATGAAATTAAATGTTCCTGAAATAGTTGCAGCTCTATACTTATTCATTTTTCTTATTTTTTAATAGCAAATTGCTAGAGACTAATATTTTGACTAATCATGTTTTTTTAGCTAAAATTCTTTTATATCTAAAAAAAATAACGAGTGCACTAAATTCTCCAATTTTATCAACGATCTCCCTTGTAAAGATCATTAACCTGAAGTTTGAATCAAATTATAGTTCTAAAAACCCTTTCCTTAAAATCTGAAAGGTTTCAAATTTGCTTCCGACTTACAGATAACTTCTCGATCAAAGTTTTATTTGAGATGACTATAATAAATTATTCGTCGCATCATAGCCTCTGAAAAATAATGCGGTTCTCTTTTAATCTCACTTTAATTACTCCAATCAGAATTTAGAGTTTGACTTCTTAGTAGAGTGATTCTATATTTTCACTGATGCACTCTGGTAAATCCTTACCTAAAATTTTCCACCGGCAGCTCCCCAAGCTACATAGAACAAACAATATAATTGTCGTCATTTAAATAAGCCAACCTGCCCAGCATCCTTATTTCTAACCTCAAAACAAGGATAGAAATTTGCGAATTCAACTTATTATTAATCCATGGATTCTTGCTATTCCCGTTATTGTAAAATTTATATTTTTTTCATATTTATTTATAATATTTATACATTTTTGTCTTAAATTATTATTTTTCTCCTTTTGATTCTTGTAAATATGGAATGATAATTAAGATATAGTAACAAATAAAAATAGTTGACTATACCTAATTAATGTCTCTGAGAGAAAATTAGTTTTTTAAAATAACACAACTAAAAATTTGTCACAATAATAAAAAATATTAAGGCTAGCTAAAATAAAATATAAATTTTTAATATTAAAGTAAGAAATTTAATAAAGTAAGAATATTTTAAAATCTAATACTTTTTTAATTTAAAAAAAAAAAGAAATTAAAATAAAAAAAATATTTATTCTAACAACATTTTTCATTCTAACAAATCTAATTTATATCGTAAGGAAAAGAGGATATTAAATAAATTTTCCTAAATTTTGGGTTATTTTTTTTCCCTAAGTATTAGCACTAATTATTTTCGTTTATCTTTAATCGATTCTCTGGATTTATAAAACCTCGTGAGTGTAGATAATGAGGTTTCACCAGAAGCTGTTTATATACCAATGATATTGCGCGTAAAAAATGCAAGAAGCAAAAAACTCGCATCTGTTTATATTCAGATTTACGAAAATAAAATGACCGAATATACTCATCATTAGTTGAGTATCAATCTTATTTTAAAAAATATGTCTTTTTCTACTTTAGTCGCTAATAATCCCTTTACGATTTTTATTTCATGATATTATGTTTCAGGATACGATAAAATGTCAAATAAATTGTATAATACGTTCTAATTACAAAAAAATTGAAAATTATAGGAATAATATAAATTGTTAACAAGATACAACTTATGATTGAAACATTGTATAAAAAAAATATAAGACACCTTTTTATTTAATTTTTTTTGCGAAAATGTATTCTCCTCCATTTCGACCAGACATTGCACCATCATACGCCTGACTTATTGTATTAAAAATTAATCTTTAATTAAATCATTAACTTGTTTTAAAATCCAATTTGTAATGCTTTCAGCTAATAGACTTTTTAAATTGTCATTTCTATTAAATTCTCTTTGATTATTCCATAAAAAATATATCGAATAATTATACTGAAATTTTCACCACTTGCTGCATCTTTTATCTCACTAATCTTAAGACAAAAAAACTGCATATCACTTTTGATATAATTTGTTGAGATAGATTCCAACATCATTTCTGCTATAAAAAACAATTTGAATTTGATTTGATGTGTATTAATCATTTTTTGATATTTAATAAAAAATTTTTTTAAATCGTTTTGGCAGGTATATGAATTAATAAAAAGGAGAATAGATAATATTTTTACCACAGCATCATTTATAGTGGAAGCAGCAGGCCCACGAAACGAGAATTCTTGTATGTTGATAAATTGCATCAAATAATTAATTTCAAATAATATCCTTTAAGCTCAACTTGATGGTTCACCAAAATTGTCGATATTTCTGTATCCTTATTTATATTACAATTTTTATAATTTCATGTTCTAACAGCCATATATTTCTAAGCATTTTGATGTTTTTCATTTAGATTAAATTAAATTTAAAATTTTATAAGATTTAATAACCCTCAATATTTTTGGAGTCAATTTATTGGGCCAAAGAAATAATTTGGAGGCCAGGCATGGGGTGTAAATAAACTTATTTGGGGAGGGGGTCGACCCACCGTGGCTCCCTAATGGTATTTCTAATTAAAATATTTGTTCCTTCTATTATTAATATATTTATTTATAGCTTATAGACGATTTATATAATTTGATCACTCCTGAATTTAGTGACTTCAACTCTGAATTTTATGTTTTTGTAAAATATATTTATAAGTCCTATGCACATCCTAAAATAAACAACTGAATTCTCATTTTTCTCTAACAGCTTTTTTCGTATTCTAAAATCTTTGTAAGGAAGACATATCTATCAGTTGGACAGGAAGGTAAAAATAAAGCTATTAAAAATAAAGAAACGATATGTATATCATATGAGTCAAACATAACATTTTTACATTCGATTTAGCTGCTCTCAGACTGAAACAGCCTATTCTTCTTAAGCGATAACCTTTGTAAATATATTATCAAATAAACTAAAATATAAAATGATTAGAAATAAATAATAGGTATAGAAATTATTGATTTTAATGATCCCTTATGGTAACATATATTTATTTATGAATATATATAAACTAGATCATATTATTCCTACAACTATAAATTATAAATTAAATAACAAAAATTATAGCAACACGTTTTAGTGTTCCTATTTCAAACAACATTTTTTTGTATTAAAAATATAACAAATATTTATGGAACAAAAATATTAATTATGTAAAGTTCCGGATATCAATTGTCAAAAACCATAAAAATATATTCTGTTGCATAGTATATATAAGTTTGTATTTTATTTAAATTATATAAACAAGAGTAGTTTAAAATTTATATTGGATCCTTTTATGTCATTGTTTTATACTATAGTACTAAACAAAATCTTCTATGTGGGTTTTGTAAGCTTGTTTCCAGATCTCAGCCAAGCATGCGGTAGAATGGTATCGATAGAAAATAGACAGTGGAGTGCAAATGTGGGTTATAATGTTCCATGTTATGTACCCATAAAACTCTACCTGTATGGGGTTGGTTCTTGTGCGTTCGTTGGCAAAAGTATTGAAAGCCCACATAGCGAAATTGCAAACTATTAGAAAAGTCACATATTGTCGCCCAGGCTTTTCCGCTTCATCCTTCTCAGTAATGCAAAAACGATTTAGAGCATCGACGATGAACACCGTTTGAGCTGTTGACTGGATAACGTTAATCAGGGAAGATATTAAGAGTAAAGTTCTTTTGGGGCTGAGCGCTCCGTTGACTTCGTCATTTTTAAGGGTATCATGAGAGTTTTTAATAGGTGCAGAAGCGGCAGCACTCACTATGCTAAACGTCGCAAAAAAATACTCACCAGCCACGGCGATTGACAAAAGTAAGCTGTCCAGTTTTTCACGATCGCGGACGTCTACATATTTTAGAGGGCGCATTTTATGAAAGGCAGCAAATATGCTCACGAGTGACACGAGGTAAACCGATATTTCGGTTACCTGGTTAAGATAGACGGCGAATATAAAATACTCACGTTTATCTATAAGCACAAAAAAAAGAATGAGGGTTATGATTGAGAATACCAAGACGCTGAGGCCCATAAATAGACCACGACTAGCTCCCTCGCAGTTGACGGTGTACGAATTTCGGGCACGTCGAGACCTAAGTTTACATTTTTATAAATAAATTGTTAAAAGATGTGTTTTAATTTCGTATTTTTATATGATATATATTATATAATTTTGGATAATATCAAATGCCAATTAGCCAATGTATGAATGTAGAATCGCAGATTATATATTTAGTTTAATAAAATATATTATGACAATATTATATTATATACATGTCAAATATCAATATGGTGAAAATTATTTGGATTATGAAAACCGAAATAGAGTATTGAAATCTCTTCATGAATTTTATGTTTTCTTTGTGATACAATAATATATTAGTTAATTTTTTCAGTGAGATTTTATGAATGTAAGATGTTGATTTTTTTTTACAATAAATTTAATAAAAATAAAGGGAAATTCATTTTTTTTAAAATGGACTTGAAACCTTTAGTTAAATTAATTGTTTACGATAAGAACTATTTATTACAATTTATGCCTAAAAGAAATTACAAATAAAGTTTACTTTCTAAATCTAGGAACTATTCCAATATTTTTCCACATAACGTAAGAAATTGCAGCACATATTAAACTGTACTCTATTGTACAAGGGTATAAAAATGGTCCAGCATCTTCTACAATTTTACTCATGATAATATCCTTTTTTGATTTTTGACAATCTATAATTAATAAAACAAAATATAAATTTGGATTTATTTGGGAATCTCAATTAAAGAAGAGAATCATTTACTTAAGAGAGCATTTCAGATAAATATTTTAGGATTTCTCAGCAAAAATGTTTCCGCACTCTCTTATCTTCTAAAGATTAATGTAATTCTCATATAACCCTTTCCAAGGTTACTAAAATCAGGAACACTATCTGGAATAATTAAATAGTATTATAGTTCATTTTACAATTCTTTTCAAATAATAAACTAGCCTTTAAATATCAATATTTGGCTAACACTGGCCAGTAAAACGTTATATTTATATGATTGATTTTAGATTTGTTAGTTCATCACTTCTTCAACTCCTTTGAAGTTCTATCAACATTTGAGTATTTATTTCTTACTATACAAACAAGCCAAATTAATTATTATCTATTTAGATAATTATAAACAATAATGTAAAATTCTATTTTTCCAGTTATTAATAGGGGAAACCGGAAATATCTTAAAATTATTTACTTAATAAAATTTGATATTTGAAATTTAAAACACAAATGTATTATAATACGATGCTTTTAAAATGTTTCACAGAAATATGTTCAGAAAAGTTTTATATAGGCAAATTATATTTTAACACCTCAAAAGTAACTTATTTTATTTTACATTTTTACTAATAAATTTTTTTATAAATTATATACTCAGGCTAAATATCAATTCTATGATAAAGTAATCTCAATTTTGTATAATTTTATTTAAAACATGGTTTAAATTTATAAATAAAATTATATACGATTGTAAATGAAATATATTTAAAAAAACAAATAAGATTTTTTAATTTTTAATGATAACATGGTTTAAAAATATATATTAAAATTATATGTAAAATATTATATAAAAATAAAAATATATTGTAAACTTTTTTTCGCATAGTTAAATTAGATATTTATAAATTTAATAATAAAATTTATATTGTTAAACTAATTAGATAGTTTTAAAAATTTTAATTGATTTTTTATAATTTTTAAATAACAGAAAAATTATTTAATTTGGTAAATATAATGAAAAAGTAAAGGTGATCGCTAATATGTTTGAAATTAAAAAATTTAAACGTAATAGTCCAATCGCTTAAATATTGATGCATCTACGATTGAGGATTTACTCCCCTTATTGATACATTTTTATTTCAATTAAAGGAAAGATTATTTAGTCACAATTTTATTTTAAACAACTTTTATTTTCTTTTGCCGGTTGAGTCTAAATACACATGAAACGCGAGAGGATATTAGGAAAATCTCAATTTTATTCTGATGAATTATCAGGATCATATGATAAATTACTTTGTGATGTCGAATTTTGGTATAAAAATTTTGACAGAATAGAGTACTCTTTAAGACCAAAATATGCTTTACAGGCCCTTTCCATGTATAATTGCACTTTAGATTCCCTGCCCAATATCAAAACATTGCCTTTTATCTTAGCTACCTTACCAATTAGCACCTGCACTAATGAATGGTCTTTTAACTTTGAAAAGGTTAAAAACCTATTTAAGAAATAGCACCGATGAAAGCCATTTAAATGGATTCGTAATATCAAATATATATAAGGAGATTATTCTAGATAAAAATTTGATTCTAGATGAATTAGTCAAATCTCAGAGAAAAGTAGACCTCTCTTTATAAATTCAAATTATAAAATTGCTAATGATCTTAGTCATAAAATTTTTATATTCAAAACGTAATTATAATGAATTCTTAGTCATAATATTTATATATTATACTATTTTTAATAAAAATATTGCATTTGCACTAAGAATTAGTGATCTACATCGGGCCTAATTTATCAAGCCCGGCCCTGCCCGAAATTATTTTAAAAAAATTTGCCGGCCCGAATCCCAAATTTTTTTTAAAAAGTTTTGTCGGCCTGGCCCGAATTTATTTAAATATAGAAATTCATTTTTATAATTACTTAAAATAAAAGATATATGTTATATGGCGTCTAGTTTTTATAAATAAAATCAAATATTTTTATTTTAAATAAAAATTTAACATAAAATTGATATATTTAGATATATTTTAAAAAACTTCCAAGGCCCGACCCAACCCGGCTCAAATTTATTTTAAAAATATTAGCCCGATTCCTATTTTCCTACTTTTGCGGATCTCTAATAAGAATTATTTATGTTTTATTATAAATTCATTTGTATTAATTATATTATAATTGTAGATTTTTTTAAATACCGCACAAGAATTACTCATACTTTATTGTAATTCTATTTTTTTTAAATATAGTTATTTAGAATAAATTTATAATCTTTATAAAATTTATACATTTTGAAATTTATTTTATTGTATAAATAATAAATAAAATCTATAATGAAATTCTCTGCAAAATTTTGTTATATGCAAAAATTTAATTTAAATAATTATTTTTAACATAGAATAAGATATATTGAGTGATCATAAAAAATGGGAGGTTTGGGGGACGATTTTATTCTTCTTTCTACATCGAATGGATTGAATTAATTTACAATTGACTAAACATTGATAAAATTTTCAGAATAATGCTTTCAATTGCGTATTAATCATAAATTTGGCTAAAATTTTGTTACTAATATTTTTTTCATTTATGCTGGCTACTATGTGGTTAGACACCAATAAAGCACAAAAGTGGCAAATTTTTAAAATACGGTTTGAGGGCGAAGCCCCCCCCCTTCCCAATTTTTAACCCCCCCCCCCCCCCCCCCATGGATTAATCTAGGCTACACCACTGGTAATTTAATATCTTGAAATTGAATTATAAATAAATTTGAAGATGTGGGACAGGTTTTGACGGGGTGCGAACCATTTTTAGCAGGGATTTACATTTAATAAAAAAAATTAACTGGGTCACAAATGATAATTTGAAAACGGTGACTTATTTTATGCAAATTGTATGACAATTTTAAATGACAGCAAGTTCTCCCGAGTGATAGGTATAATATGGATGACGATAAGATAAAATGTATCATAGTAGGTATTTATAAATTTGCCAGTTTACAGAAACACATTTAATATTTTTCAGAAAAAGTATAAAGTCATATACGACTTTAAGAAATATGAATTTAATATATAAAGAGAGAGATCTACCTAAAAATTTTCGAGCTACAAACTCTGTGGTATTAGCGTGACTTTTAGGTTTGCTTTCTATTTCATGATGATACCATTCGATCTCTTCAATAGTTTGCCTAACGAGCGTAATAATCCATACACATAGATTGGTGGCTACAACATGCATAAGTCCGAATCTTGCCAACGTTTTGTATTTGTGTATGCAGATCTAAATAATATAATAAATTATTGTTTAATACATAGCATAACAACAACCTTCTATTGAATTAGACATAAGGAATTACTAAACGATATGATGAATTTAATATAAAAAAATTAAATGGAACATAGTAAGTTTTAAAAATAATAATATTGTTGTTATTATGATTTTTTAAGTTTTTAGTGTTAGGATTTCCTTTAATAATTCTTGTGGGTGGGATTATAATAAATTGTGTTTTGTGGAAAAGGCCTGAAAAGTTGGATTTCAGGGTGTACAATTAATTTGCTTATCTGATTAATATCATATTCAATCCGTGTATTGACGATATATAAATTTAAAATGACAGGATCATAAAATTATTTGAAATTTAGGAAATGCTGGAATACATCTTCGGCGAAATAATATTTCTTTATAAAAAGCCCTCAACAAAGCGTTCTAAATTAAAAAAGGATTTCAGGAAGAAAACTATCATATGCGACTTTTGTAAGATATCACACATTTAGTAGTGACTAAACTTGTGCGCCGTCAGTTCAATTGACGGCTAACGGCAGTTTTCCCCAACCCGGAAAAGCCCCCAGATAACCCACATCGCCTGACTCACGGCGAATTTTTTCTAAGGCGGAGGTGCAGCATGTAAACTTTTTAAAAAGATATTTGATTAAATTAATATGTTTTTTTAAATTTGAATATTAAAATTAATAAAATATAATTATGCCACTTTAGAACCCCCAGGTCTCTTTATGGATAAGAGACGACCCGATGGAATTACACAAATTCCTTGGGAGAATGGCCGATTTCTAGCGTGGGATTTCTTCTGCGTTGACCCCCTCTACACCCACTAACATCAATAAGGACATTTTAAAATACACCGAAGATTTTAAAACAAATAAATATGTGAATATTCCAGATGAGTATAAATTCGTACCAGTTGTCACGACAACCTTAACATACTTTGGAAGTCAGGCTCTTAGCCTAATTAAAAAGATTGGCAGAGCCTTAAGAACTAAATCGGAGACCCAAATGAAGGCGTCTACTTATGTCAACGCATAGGAATTTAGATTATAAAATCTAATTTCACATGCTTGTTCATTCCCTGAGGAGCCCGATTAATCTAGATTTTCTTCTTCTTCCCTAAATTATTTGAAATCCCCCCCCCCTTCTTCCTCATATAATCATTTGCATTTTATATTTCCATTATATCTATTATTATACTTTGTATTATGAAGTTGTTGATTGTTAAATTTCTTGAATTTTCTAGAATTATATTTTGGACATGATTTTATTTTTATACTATCATTTTGTCAGATTTAATTTGTCTGTAAAAATTTTGTATTTTTGTAAAATATTTTATTTTAATAAAATCTTATATCCAAAAAAAAATATGAATTGTATGGTATTGGTATATAATAGATACATATCATATACATTAATTCATTAATATATTATATTTAAATTTACAAGAATTCATTCGTACATTATATTTAAATATCAATTTCATGCCCTAACCCTAACCTTATCTTTATATTAATGGACCTATCTTTTTCCCTATATACAATTATTAAATAACACTCTCTCTTTAATAATAAATATATGTGGAAGTATTAACAGATCCAATTTAAATACCATAATTAAATGTCCTTACCGGATGATGATATATCCGTGGTGTCAAGATTCCTATAAATAATGTGCTAATGCTAAATAAGGAAGCAATCTTTAAACCTTTTCAATAACGAATGAGATTTACTTGACGGACTATTTACATTACTAAATAAATTCAGAGAGTTTTAGTTTCATCCCATATAGGATGAACAATTAATTTATGATTATTATTTCTAGTCAAATAGAAGCAAATATTCAAATCAATTAATCTGAAAAGAAAAATCCATAAGTTTCTATTTATCGAACTGCAAAAAATTATTTTAAATAATAATTTTTAATATAAAATATTTAAAAGTTAATATTTTGAACATTATAATTGACACTACTTAATCTAATATTTCAAAATCTTAGAAATTTGAATTCTAAGAGAGATCGTTGCAATTTTTTAATTAGACGTTTAAATTAAAGAACATAGAGAACATGATAGAAATTCAGAGAGAGATTCAAGTTGAAGAATAGGTAAATATTCAATTCATATTTTGCTAAAATAGTTTGTAAAATTCTCCTCCAAGAAGAGGCTAGGAAGCTTCAGTCACTTTTTTACATTGCTGGATTAATACTTATGCCACATTAATCTCGACAAAATTCTGTTTATTCGCGACAATTATAATCCAAATAAATGTGATTAATTTATTTATATTTTGTTACTTTATATTTTGTTAGCATTTCAAATTTAAATATAAATTTATTTTAATAAAAATCTACAAATTATTACTGATATACGTCTCTGACCTGAGTATAAAGAAATTTTTAAGTCTATTTCAGAGAATGAGAAGAATATCAATATATATAGGGGAAGGACAGTAAATGGTTTAAGAATTAAACAATATTAAGAATATTGGAACTAAGAGTGCCAAGTTAAATTAAAAATAAATCTGTTAGAGGAGGCGAATTTGAATTTGGTAAAAATTAGTCTGGATTTAATATCTTTAGGGTACTTTTTTCTTTCTTTCTAAATTTTTTTTATAAAGTTACTCAGCCTAAATAATTCTAAATGATAAAATAGAGAATACTGGGGATATATTGTTAATATAAAATTTCATTACTATAAAAAATATATAAAGTTTTCTAAATGTTTAAATGTAGTTTTATTTTTTACAGATATAAAACTACCTTTAAATATTTTGTAATAATTGCTTCATCTTTTTTATAGCAGTAATTCTTTATGAACAATATAATCCAAGTTCCCTACATTGAATTATAAATTAAATTCAATGTAGTGAAGCTGACGTCATCGCCAATTTACTAGGCGGAGGCTAATTTTGCGTTCCATTTAGTGGCGATAAATTTTTTTAAAAAAAACCGCCTCTGACGATTGAAATTTCGGCGTGCAAATCGAGTATTGAACGCGAGCTAACTGTATTATTATATACGGGGAACATTGTTTATATTATTTTTAAATATAAACAATCGATAATAACCATATAGAATAGACAAATTGAAATTTAAATTTGACACTATAATAAGATACTTATAAATTAAGAAAGGGATTACCCACTTTGGAATGCGAAAATATGAAATAGGTTTGAATGAAGGTGAATAACAAATTCATTGCCGGTACTAGGCCTCCTAAAATATCTAAGCATTTGGCCGAAAAGTTGCTATCGAAAAATTCGCTGAATTGCAATCCACTATATATCATGCTTCCACCCCCAAATGCTTTTTTAAATTGATGATTTTATTTTTTAAATACCACATTTTGATTAGGGCATTAAACTAAATAATGAAAAAAATTTGTGATATTAAACATAAATTATCAATAGTATAAAAAAGGGGGAGGGGAGGGGTTCATTTTACTTTATCATTGATGTCAAAAATTTGCTTCTATTTCTTTTAATTTGATAACCACCGCCTTATTTTAATTCTATAAAATATTCTCTTTCTTTTTGTATTTAAAAAATTGAGTGAAGAAATCTTAAAATCTGCGAATTATAAATATAGACACCTTTAATTTTATAATAAAATTTTAACATAAAAAACTTGTTACAAATATATTTAAAATAATTTAAAAAGTGGACACTTCCAAAGACGCCATATTTTGTATGGTATAGCAATCTTTCTTTACCCAATCGTCCCACCTTAATTCTAGTGTAAAAAATTAACTAGTAAAATAGATTTCATTTTCATCTTGGTATCACATTTCACATATATGTTATATAATTTATCTTAAATCTTGATATCTATAACTTTTATTTATATAGTTTAAAACGGATTGAAGATTAACCTAAAAAATAGACTCTTTAAGCATTCATATTGGCCTAAGCTTAAAATTAGATTTTATAAGATTGGCAAACTTCATATTTAGGTCTGCGTCTTATTATGAAACAGATTCATAAATATTTTTTGTAAATATAACTCGATTTAAAATATAATTAGTTTAAACAATTTTATTTCTATACCAATTAAATACACCGAAAAGAACCAATACTATTTATGGAGATCACAGAATCATGAGATTCAAAAATATTTTGAATCGGCGAAAAACCTTTAGGTTGATTAATTTAAAATCCTACATTTAAGATAGTCTAAGACCTGCCATTTTTTATTGAGCTTATAACTACTTTTTATTTAATAACTGGAAAAACTGATTGATGAATTAGTAAGGATTAATATCAGATATTACATATTGGCGCGTCTTACTTCCATAATTTTTATTTTAGCATGGTGCCAATCTTTGTAGTATTTATTTTGAATAATATGTTTACTTTGAACTATCGTCTACCAATTTAAACTTTTTTCTTGTTTAATCTATCTACAAAAATAAATAAAGCAAAAAAATACTAACAAATCACTACTTAACAGTTTGGTATAAGTTTCAGAATTAATGTTTTCAAGAGATTTTTTCACTTCATACCTAAAACATGAGGTAATTTTTATTTTGCTTATAAAGTCTACTAAACTGAAACTGGTTATATATATACTAATAAAGGATAAAACATTGACATAGATTTTAGAATTAGTGCTTCCAATTATTCAGTCATTTTAACGAAGATAAAATACAAATATTATATACTGAATGGTAATTCTTTCACTATGAATATTAAACTAGCATCTTTAATATCAATTATGTACCACATGATTAACTCACACCTGCAACCATAAACAGGACGATTTAAAATTCAAGATGAAGCTAATCGTTAACAAAATAAACAATCTGGACATAAATAGTGCACTTAGACTATGTACCTCCTTTGACACACTTGTTCCAGTGGACACTAGATAAGCATCCCCAAACACCGGAAGCTATAATGATTTGTGAAATCAAGAACCCTTCTCCAATTTTCACCTCGGAAGGAATACTTAAATCAGTGAGATCTTTTCAGAAGAACGCGGCCCCTGGATTTAAAGGCAACAAACCTTTATTCTTTCAAGATTTAACTACTCCCATCCTTAACAGTCTAACCTTTTTATTTAATAAAATAACTCAATTATGCAACAAGGTCATCAATGGAGACGTCCCAGATTTCGTAAGGGCCCTCTTTTTTGATGCCTGAGAAAAAGAATGGTGATATCAGGCCAATAGCCGTTGGTGCTGTAAATAGGAAATTATGTTCCAAGCTTATAGCTAGCAGGATTTCTGCATAAATTTCTAGTATACTTTTTCCTCTTCAATTAGTTGTTGGAACGAGCTCAGGATATGAAGCGGCTGTGCCTATAACTCGTATTTATATTCAGAATGTTACAATAGCTCAACACCTTGCTAAAATCGACTTTAGAAATGCTTACAATAGCATTCACAGAAAATTAATAATTTCACAATTAATAAAACATTTCCCAACTTTTACAAACTATATTTTTTCATCCTATAAAAACCATCTCATTTGGTATTTGGGCATTATATCTTAACTTCTTCTGATGGTATACAACAGGGTAATCCCCTAGGCTCCATATTATTTTGTATAAAAAATAACTGCTCCCTACCCCTACATTTATGATACATTTATAATGGGAGCGATATAGCGGAGGTGGAAAAGGCTGTTAATATTAAGGTCTCCACTGACAGTCTCGGACTTGTAATTAACCAAACCAAAACGGAATATTGTGAAATCAATACAATTCCACTAAACGTTTTTGGCTTTAAGCATGTCCCCTTTAAAAATTTATCTCATTTGGGTTCTCCCATTAGTGAGGAGTCAGCAAATTCTTTTTTTTTAAGCGATATGAACGATTATTTAAAAATTTAAAAAGCATTTTTCCCTGTCTCTCGGCTCACAAGGCTTTTTTTAATTAGAATTTTCTTCAACGGACTTGGTATAAGATCCCCACTGTCGATCTCAATAAGTGCGTTCATTGCTAGCCACCTTCAGGCACATAGATTAATTGACCAACATCTGTCAATCCACGATCCCTTTTTGAATACAGCTAGGACGGAGTGGGAAAAATCCGAAACAACTACAACAATATTTTCGATTTCTGTAAAACAGAGGATTTGGATCTACCACTTGTGAAAAACTCCGTTGATTACCTTATCGAGTCTTTCACCTTTGACTAGGTCCACATTCATTGAACTTATCAAGGATCTGGGATATGAATTTTTAGATGTTATTCCATCTAGCAATCCTAAACCTGAATTGGACAATCACTAGCTCAGCTATGCTCTATGTAACAGGCTCAACATTCCTTTTTCATTATCATAGAAATGCAGCAAATGTCATACTGATGATGACAATATAGCGCTTCCTCCTTTACATTGCAACTGTAATCGGTCGACTCGGCACTCGAGGTGCAATCAAATCATATTGCACAGCTGGTTTTCCTACTTCATTAGAGCCTTCTTGTCTCTTCTCTATGGTAAGCGTCCTGATGGAGTTACACGAATTTTATGGTCACAAAGAAAGTTTTTAATATTTGATTTTTCTTGTTTGGACACGAACTCCCCTTCCAATTTTAACAAGGACGCTCTGAACAGAGCTCAAAATTTTAAGATCACCAGCTCTGATTCTTCTAATTATATATTCATACCAATCATCCCCTCCAGTTTAACAATATATGGTGATTTGTCTAAAAAGATTTTTAAAGACGTTGGCTTCCTAATCAGGAAAAATTATGCAGAACCTTGCGAAGGCTTTTACTTAAAGCAGAGGATCGCAATACCTATTTTTAAGGCTAATATGTTTGTTTTATCAATTTGATCTCTCCTGATGATTAGAGGAGAATAATTGTGCTGGTTTAGCTTTTATTTATTATGTATTTTACATTATTTTATTATTTATGTTCACTATTGTCTTCTTGATATTATTATTTTTTTTTCTAATTCATAATCGTTTACTAAGTATTTACTTCAATATTATAATTATATTATAATGTAGATAAATAACCAAAATTATAAAGATATTTATTGGAAAACCGCTTATATACATATATATTAAAAAACCTTATTATTTTTATTTTAATAATAATAAAGACAAGACATTTTTATTTTTAAAAAAAAGCAAAATAAGAATAACGGTTAAATCAGTAATGTCCCGGAAAATAGGATTTTTGGGGGCTTTTATAACCCCCGCCCCTTCTTTGATAAATCCTGATTATGCCATTACTAAATATGAATTGTTACCATGCAGTGTTTATTTAAATATTTTGATATTCATATTGTATCACGTCTATTCGGGACAAAAAATTTGGCGCACAATAATTCAGAGCTAATTCGGCAGTTGCAATTTATTATAAATTTATTAGTAAATAAAGATTAAATTAAAGTCATTTTGAAGGTTGGTCAATTAATTATTTCTTCATTTTTTTCATAACAATTTTATTTACTAATTGTGTAATATCAATAAAAAAAATTAATAATATCAAAAAAAATTAAATTAAAAGGGAAGTCTCATCCTAGAGATTGGCATTTTCCAATCATATCTAATGATAGTATCAATTTAGAAAATAGCTATTAACTTAAAAGTATTTTTTTTTAAACTGACTCATTTTATAGATTTATTAAAAATTCTTAAAATATTTCTATTAATCTAAAAAATAAAAATTATCTTTAAATCAGGGTTTCAAACCGAACCGCGAAACTGCTATGAAACCGTTATAATTTTCTGAACAGTAACTAAACCGTTAGAAAGAAAATAAAAAAAGAGTGAACCGAACTGATAAATATTTTTGAACCGATCCAGTTCATAACGATATTAAAAATAATTAATTTCAAATTATTAATCTAAATTTAAAATTTTAATTTTTCTTGGTGGCAATTAATATTCGTGATTTCTTCTCAAATTAAAATTTTTTATACTTAAATTCGCTATTATCTTCATATCCATAAATTCCAAGTTTATTGTTTTTACTCTATATACGCAAATTAATATAGAGATTAAGCAAATGATTAGTTAATTAGATAAGAAATAATCTTCATGGTTAATTTAAATAAGGAAATATGAAAATAAAAATTTAAAAAAATTTTCTATGATTAATTTTATTTAAAAAATCAAATTAATAAAAACCGGAAATAACCGAAAAGAATTATTATAAATTTGAAACCCAACCAAACCTAACAGATATGAATTTCTTCAAAAAACCGAAATTGAACAAAACCTATATAAAATTTTAAACTAAAAACTGAAACAAACCGAACTATTTGCTTAACTGTCAAAATCCTGTTTGATTTTTTGGATCAACTTATCTAATTAAATTGGTCCACCAAAGAAATCAGGGTATAAATATTTGTTTATTTATTGAATCAATTTTTTTTATTACTAAAAATATATAAATATTATTGAGATCTTTGTAAAAATAAAAATCCCTCCCCCCTTCCGACCATAGTTTTAAAAAAATATATCCGCCCTCCCGGCCTTTACTCTAAGATATTCTACGCACTCGCCTGCCGATTTATCAAAATTTTTTTGCCCGCCCGTCCATTATTTATGAAAAAATTTTAACCCGCGCCGCACATAAAAAATTTAAATAAGCTCATTCTTTCTCTATTTTTAAGCATCTAATAAAAAAATGAAGTATTTTCATCGCTACATCCCTACAAAACAGTTTTATAATTTAGGAAATTGCTATATTATAAAAAAAAATATTCAATTTAAATTATGGATATTGAATTTATTTGATCTAATAAAATATTTATGTAATAATATAAAATTCATATTTATTGATACTAAAAATCTTCCAGCAACTAATTCCTAGTTCGTGCTGGAATTGCCAATATTTTTCTAGCTAATTTTGATAGCTTTGATAAATCTTTTTCTTGTCGTTTCCATATCAAAGTAGGATATCCGTTTGAAGTATATCCTCTACTCAAATGAGATATTTAAATAAAGAGTGAAACCATTATAATAATAAATAAAAAAAGTAATTTAAATAATTGTTTATAAATTGTAAACTTAATTATACCAAAATTCGTTTTTATAAGATTTAAATATTTTATGTCATTAGGTAATGCTCTCATATGTAACAGCCACATCTTACCATCTGTTGTTGTTTAATTTTGACGTGGATGCTATCTTATTTCAAACATTACATTTATAATTTAATCATCTTTAATTGAATTCTCTTTGATTTTGGGGAAATAGGTAAAATCAGATTTTTATCCACGATGTTATATTCTTCCATGCAAATCAAATCTAACATGTTTTTGATATATTTTCTACTTAATTAATTGCTTCCAAACCCATATCATCAGTCATCGGTGCTTTGGTAATAAAAATATTGAAATTTCAAAGATCATATTTTTTTAAAATGTTTATTTAAATTATTTTAAATAACAAAGTAAATTTTTTAAACCATCTGTTCTTTAAAAAAATTAAACCTGCTGGCCCACTCGCTCACTTAGATGGTCATTAGAACGCAGCCTCAAGATGACTTATATTTAATGATCCTTTTATTTTATACTAATAAATTAATAATAAATCACAACTCCGTTTGATAGGTACTAAAGACTCTGCGTGAATTATCAACGCCGAATTTTCGTGCTCAATTTTTAAAAAATAAAATAAGTTATAAAAAAGAAAACCCTCTTTAGTGTAAATCACTCTTTAATCAGTAACAGTAAAGCCAATATTTAATTAATAGTGGTTTAGTTATGAAGTGGGCAAATTAGGTGATTTGTTAGCATAAACTTCAAATATAAAAAAACTAGCATAAATTCTAAAATAAATATTTATTTTAAATAATGTTTCATTTTATTAGTCTTACTCTATGTAGGTAATCATTGGTTTAAATTTAAAGCAAAAACATTTTATACTTTTGGAATTCTTAAACTCATAAAGGCTAATTCTAATGATTGAATAAAAAAATATGCTTTAAAATCACATAGAAAATAGGTTTTCGAAATAAATTTTTGTAAACTATATATTTTAATTTAAAAAAATTATATTTAATACAATAATTATAGTTATTTAAGAAATAAATTTCCTGCAAGCCTCATGCATGCAAAAATAATAATTAAATGTGAAAAAATAGTAAGTAAACCTAAAGCACCCATTCTTAGGTAGAAGCTCCCCGTGCTACTTTCAAATTCTGTTACCCGTTGTTTTTTAATTAATAATTTTGCGGCATCATTGTCAATATTTCTTCTATTTTGCATTAAAACAACGCTGGCTTTCCGTTTAGTATCGGTCTTAGTATAGAATCGGATCAAGAAAAAGTAAGTGTACAGAAAAAAACATATGCTCACCCCGTACAAGTAAACGTAATATACCTTGATAATGATTAAATTTATAACGTTTTTAAAAAATTATAAAATTTTTTTGAATACCATATTTTGTTATCACTATTGGTAAATTTTGAATGAACCCTAATAATGAATCAAATCTAACTATTTCAAAATTCGATCCCCAATAATAATTAAGTTACAGGAGTTATAAAAAAATGTTATTGAAATATATATATTAATCTTAGTAATATCAAACTTATATCTCTATGTACAGGTAAATATCGGATGAATAAAAAATTTAAAAAAATCATATTTAGAAGGGTGAGATTCATGTAATTTTTAAGTATATTAATTTTTATAACTTTTTTACTATTAAAAGACATCTTATAAAATAATAATAAATGATTATATAAACCTCATGGTAGTTAATCGGAAAATTTTCAGCGATTGCTTCAGAAACGGGTAGGCTAAAACCAATCGCTATTAACACCAATGCATACAGGTAACTTAGCTTAGAGAAAAAGTTTTTCCTGAGAAATTCAATTAAAAATAATTTTTTTTAAATCCTTATTTACATTTATATTTATCCTATTTATATTCTAATATTTATTTATATTCTTATTTAATCAAGATACTTTTAAGATAAAACCTAATCAAGTAGCTTCTTCAAAATGTATAAAAATTATTCCGATGTGCGCAAAATCATTAGATTTTTATTTACCTAAAGGCCTCCTTAGAGTGTGCTTTTTCGTCAAATTTTTTGTGATGCGGAGTAGGATAATTAAAGGATGTCAACGGAGGTATAATATCAAGATCTGAACTCATTTGTACTCTCTTGGTGGGAGGATTTCTTGTATCCCTATAATTTTTATGATCATCAACATTTTCCTCCATTTTGTTTAAAAGTTCTGTTATAATTTGAAAATTTTTTTTTTTACTTTCTTGCATTCATTCTTAGGCAGGGTTTAAGGTTAATAAAAAAACATTGTTGACATCGTTACTTTTTGGTGAAAAATGAACTTATTTATTTTCTAAAGTAAAATGAGTATATAACTGTTAAACGGCGTTACCTTTTATGAAGAAAAGGAACGCCATTCGTAATCATTTTCTAGAGGTAACGAGTAACGGAATTTTTTTGAGTAATGGTAACACAAAACATCACTCGTTACTTCAAAATTTTCTTAAAAAATATGGAAGAAACAATTTTTTTGTATTATAAAATTACTTTTATTTATTATTAAATTTTAAAAATAATTTAAGCCGAGTTTTTAATTCAAATCAACCACCTTCTTTCATTTTTATTATAAATTTTTGTTGTTAAATTTTAGTCGATTGTTAATCTAATTAATATTGAATCAATCATTGTAAATAAATTTATATTTTTATTAATATTATATTTTATTTTTTAAAGAATATTATGTAAATTGTAAATTTTTTTCAGATGAAAATGAGTAAAGCCTGCCTTGGCTTTAATTTGAAGCATTTTTTTACACCTATGAAAAAACTAAAGGTAGAAATTTACACTTTGTAAGTGTAAATTGTATCCTCAAATATTTTAATCTCAATTGTGGAATAAACAATCCTCGATACTGTGCAGTAATTTTTAAGGAAAAAATGGAATATCTGATATGTAACTTCTATAACTGCGTGAAATTATTATAGTCTTATTAAGAAGAATGGCCACAAATTTTGACAAACCTTTTAATAAATTTACAGAGGTTTTCAAATAATGACAACTCGTTCATAGATGAATAATATATGACGATGGATATAATTTTTTAGGTTATGTAGCCAGTTCCTCTGGCTAATTCGATTTTAGAGAAAGAATAAGAATACATTTAATAAATCTCACTCCCATGATAACTATCAAAATATTTTAAAAAATGACTTGTTTATTTCTAATAAAAAAATTGGATGAAGATCCAATGAATATTCTTTTGACGATGAATTAAGCTTTTCAAAATAAGATTATTCTTAAATTTTTAATAAATTCCCTGAATTAAAATGTTTATTTATCCAGTATTAATTATACAACCCTCCCATCCTCTGTGCTGGTTGAATGTGTGTTTAGCACAGCAAAGCTGTGTGCACTAAGCACTCTTGTTTGTCTGATCAAAATTTTAAAAATCAATTGATGTTAAAAATAAATAAAAAACCATTATAATATATTTAAAAAAATATATTTATAAAAAGATATCTTATATAACGATATTATTCAACCGGAAATTGTGTATTTCGATTATTTTTTTTATGGTGATTAAGAAGATTTGAATATGAGTTATGTAAAAACATGTAATATTTCCTTCTCCTTCCTAGTTTTTGTTTACTATTTTTTTATCTTTATCCTAATCTTTTTGTTTTCCTAAATTTATCATCTTTATTAGTTTTGTCTTAGAAAAAAATAGCTAATCCCTTTTCTTTTTTATATATTTACTCAAATAAAGATACATTAGAACCAGAAAAATAAATAAATCATAGAAAAATATAAAAAACTAAATGACTAAATTTGATAATATTAATCATAATTTATGATATAGATATGTTTGTATTAAATACCAAAAATTAAAGAGATGATAACTCAAAGGATTTTAAGTAATTATTAAAAAAAATTGTGGTGCTTAAAAACCCATTTACCTCTAAAGAGATAATGAAGGAATAAATATAAATAATGTAACACGTGTCAAACCTCTCAAATATGGTTCAGATTGAACTGTGCTGGAAGTATAACTAAGGGATAAATTAACAGGTTTTATATTTTGTTGCGAATTGTTATTCCCCATGTTGCCTTTATATTCACCCAATTCCTTATTGTCAGGACTTTCATTGGTGGAATTAGTTAGAAACAATCCATCTGTGTTTAGTTGGTTAATTACACTGTCATAATTAGTTGAAATATCATTTTCATAATTAATTTTATTAATTAGGGTCGCATTTTTGGAAAGTATATTTGCGTTGTTTGATTCTTTATCATAATAATAATCAGAGTCGATACTGTTACTTTTACCTTTCAAATAATATCCTTTTTTTTTGCTTTTGAAAAGGTTATCAAACCAACTGATTTTTTTTCTCTTTCTATCTTTTTTATCCTTAATTTTGATAGGATCATATTCCGTGTCCCTTTCATTATCTTTTCTATTCTGTTGATTCGATACAAAACTTTGGTAAGGTTTGTGGTCGTCCAATTTAAAATAAACAGATGATGGAGGGTACTCGTTTTCTGTTTCTTCATCATAAGAATCATCTTCGCTTGATTCATGCTTCCTGGGTGGCCTATTCAGAGCTCGTGTTTTTTGTGATGTTATTAAAGGTGATATAGGTTGGAGTTGCGATGACGTCACACGGTTTCGATTTGTTAAAATTCCATGACTAGGCGGTGGAGGCAAGGTAATTGACGTGTAAGGGGGAGAATTAGCGAAAAGATAGGATGATGCATAATACCTTTTTTTTAATGAAATATATTTTGTATAATTTTATTATATAATTTAAATTTAAATCATTGCTTTAAATAAATGGCATTGATGGGATTAGATTGCAGACCTGTCGGTCAAACCCACGACCTATAAGCTATGATTGTGATAAATATAGACTCAGACCCTGCTCCAAAAAATAATTTTAAAAAAATTTATTCTTTTTCTTATAATTTAGTAAATAGAATATAAACATTCTTGAATTTAATATATCAAAGTTATTGTTGAATATTTAAATTTAATGCATATTTTAAAACTATTTTATTTTAATATATTTTTATTATAATTTTAATATATTTTTATTATAATTTTAATAGTTTTCTATAAATAATAATTATCAGTTTAAATAAAATTTATCTCATTTGTTTAAATGCCTATAAAGCGCTTAGATCTTTAGGCATATATAGGATTTTCTTAAGGGGAAGGTTAGTTAAATGAAATATATTTCAACTAATATTTATATTGAAGGTTTTTAGGCTCGGATTTATATAAAATTTTTTAGATCAAATCAAAATATAAATTATATCCTTATAAATTATTTTTATATTAAAAATTATAATATTACCAATTTTATATAACTAATTGCAATGTTGTATAAATCAGATAAACTTCTCCAACAATAATAGTGGAGAAATATTTTCGTAGCCAAATTAAAAAAATAACCCCCTTTCAAATTATTTATATTATAATATTACACAAAATTAATTTTAAATTTTAATTGTAAGAATGTCATTCCATTTTTTTTAAATACCCAAATTTTTACAACATGGTAGGTGGCTTTCTTTATTTGAAAAGTATAATATCCTACATCAAATATGATAGAAGAAATAGTCGAGTAACCCATTTGTTGTATATATTTTAATATAGTACGTATATTTAATTAACAACAAGAAAGTTAATATATACCAATTTAAAAAAATATATATTCGCTTTGTTATATAAATGTTTATTGTTATTGTTCTGCGGTTATATACGATATACATAATTATTTTTATTGTTTATACAAGCAAACGTAAATTATATTTGTAGATAATTATATATTATTATTATTCACTCTACTTATACATACTTTAACCAAATAAAATAATATTGATAATTATAATTCTGAAGGATAGGGGCACCGGCTAATTGCAAGCTGGTATGGAAGGAACCCTGTATTATGTCTGCACTCGTATATTAGGTATTTAAGACGTCGCAAGGTATGTTACTGAAGACTAAGAGCCTCTTATTAAAAGAAAAATTGATGATTAGTCATGACATGAAAACAATTGCTGTATATTCCTGCGCTCGCGTGGTACCTTACTCTCCAAGGAATTTTAACTTAGAATTAAGAATATCAGTAGTACTTTATATGTTTAAATGCAAATAAAGTGAATAATAATATATAATTATCACCATATATAATTTAACGTTTTCTTATACAAAAAGGGAAATAATTATGTAAATCGTATACAACCACAGAACAGTAGAAATAAAAATTTATATCACAAAGCTAACACACATCATATTAACTTTTTGTGTGGTTAATTAAATAATCATACTATATCAAAATATCACCACATTAATTATAAGCAGTTAAGTTACAAAATCCTACAGTAACCAAAATTCATATTTTTATATATCCACAATTAAATGGCCTTGCCGCTATCATTAACAACGAAAACAAGCCATTTTGATGATTTTTGCATGACTCGAATATAATAAACAAGGGATGATATTAATCAGTAGCTGTCACCACTAATAGCTTGATGTAAAAAATTTGTAAGACTCATAGAATATAAAATGAAGCATAGGCAGGCCGTTTTGAAATATAGACTCTTTCAATATTAACATATTATTTCGAAGAAGTGTTGGAAATTTAATGATTAGGAAAGATATAAATTTTTTGGACACTATCGAATTATTAATATGATATGGTCTTAATAAGATAAAATTTTTAGCTGTCTTGTATAATAATTAAATAAATATATAATAATCATAAGATGAAATTTAAGTATTTTAACAAATTACAACAATTAAAATGCTCTTTAATTAAATATAACACTACCACCTTTCAATCATTGGCACCAGTTCAACGTGTCTTTTACACAGCAAAAGCTATGTTAAATGCTAAATTGCCTGTTTATGGGGTAAAAAAGGTTTTGAAAAACAATTGTTATAATAGTTATTCTCGTCCTAGCACGACTAAATTAGTTATTAATTTAGTATATGGATTTCTAATTAATATTATTAATCGTAAATGTCCAAGTTTCATAACTAAAATTAGTAACTAACTTTTGTGAACTAAATTTTAAAATCATATGTTATTCAAGTAATATTTTTGTTTTAAATGTTTGGATATACTAATAAATTGGTACACATTAGATAAAATTTTGGAAATAGTTATGTGGTTAAAGTAAAATTAAGGATATTATATTTTTAAAGTGTAAATCTCTGTTTTATAGTTTTTGTTTGAAAAATTATGATAACCTTAAACATAAATAAATATGTATGTACAATATGAAAAGAATGATAAGCATAAGATGGAAATTCCTATGAGGTTGGGAAATAGGGCTTTCAGGATTTCTATCTGCAATATTTGTCCAGGGAGTAATTTAATATTGGCATATTTATTTCTTTCTTATTTTTTTACTTATTTATTTATTTTTTTATATATCTATTATTTTTAATTTTATTTATCTAATCATTTTTTCTTTCTTTATTTTAGAGGAATAATTTTATTTGCTTTAAATAATATTTACGGAAACTAGTGAATTTGTTAAGTTATCTCTCTTCCACTTAAATGGTTATGCCAAAGCTTAGATACTTTTACAAAGATTTTAACCAAGATGTGGAATTAGAAGCGTTTGTAGCCCCTTTTATTATATGTTTATTTTCAATAGATTAAATTTAATATTACGAAGACACTTTAAGAAGAGCATTGAAAAAATACAAAAACTTAGGTAATATTCTCATATGGGATGGACTTCAAATAATAAATATTCATGAAAACTCAGAGGAAATTATAAGATTATAAGACAATCTAGCAAATAATTAATGGGGTATATCATAAAATATATAAATATGTTGCAGCACATTTTTTTAATGTTAACTATACATTAGAATATAGTTAGTACTCATATTACATCTTCCCTACCTTTTTAAAGATTATTTATTCAAAATCAATTAAAATTTTTTTTTAATAGGTTGTAAAACGTGTTGTCATAAGAGCAAATCTCCATTTTTATTGAAATGTTGCTACTGGGAATTTCTAAATTCCTTATATTCAAGGGAAAAGGGGATTTTTTTCAGAAAGTATTTTATTCTAGTAAAAAAATCCAATATTTGAAGTAATAAATTTGTAATATGCACAAATCTAGGTTTCAATATGTTTACATTAAAATTTAAATCTACTAAATAATGACTCTTTTTTATTATACCCCTTTATAATAGATATTAACTGTACCAACGTATCCGTGCTGGCAATTTCTCTAGTCCTTAGCAACGCTCATACTTTTAAGCTTCTTACCGCCAGATGTTATTTAAAAAAAATTTTAAATATATTTATAATTATTATTTGCATGCTAACAAATATTTTACTTAAAATAACTTTACCCCAATGCTTCAGATACGCAGATACATAAATAAAAATTTCTATTCTAGAATATAGTAAGATATTTTAGAAAAAAATTGAAAAGTAAGCAAAAATAAAGATTTAAAAAATAATCATTGAATATTCGACAATTATCTAGCTAATTTGCAAACAACCTTATATTTAAAAATATATGTCTTAATATTAATCAATAATGAGAAAATAATTGTTTTGCTTTAATATATTACATATATAAATTTACCTAGAGTTAGGAATTAATTCGTTTCTGTTAGAATCATCGAAAAGCCTAGATCCATTGTAATCATAATTATTATTGTTATAAAGGGCATTTTTGGATTGCTTCAATATTCCACTATGGGATGCAGTCAATGTTTGATGAGCATTGGCAGAATTATTACCATAAGTGCTTGATGCTAAATTAAATAGAGCCTCATTCTCCTCCTTTTCATCATTATATTGTTTACTAGTCATTCATAACTTTAAAAGTTAATTTATATTTTTGTAATAAGATAAGGGCAGTTAGAGAACAAACATATTATTAACATCATTATTCTAACCCCAACCCCTCTAGATTTGAAATGACCCGTCCCGTTTTAAAATAATAATTTTAGTATGGTCGAGTCTAATATTTTTTTAAATATTTCGGGATAAATAAAAAATATTTTGTTTGGGATCTACTCGGAATTTTTTTAAAAAAAAATTCAGGTCGAACTTTAAAAATTAGGCCCGATTAGATCACGAATCCTTATACGTCTTTTACTATAAATTTGATAAAAAATATACACTTAATTTAAAACAATATATTTTAATTTATTGGAAAACATTCTCATAGCATTTTTATTCTTATAATTTAAAACGTGTTCCTATAAATTTAAATAATATTTTTTTCCAATGGTAATAATTAGTATACTTACTTATTAAAAAAGTTATTTAATTTATTAACAAGTCATCTCTGGATAATACCAAAAACAAAATATATAATTATTTATTATTTTATTTTATTTATTAAGAGTTTTAATATAATCATAATCAAAACTATTTATAAAAAGGTTTTTCTTGCGCGAAGTAATTAGTTCTGCATTTTTTGGAATGTAAAGAAAGAATAAGTGATGCTGTCCCAAATTTAAAATTCCTGCTTTTAAAATATAATGTCTCATTAATATCAACCATTCCTGTAGGAAGTTAATTTAGTATAGGGGAAGCTTATTTTGGGATAAAAAGTAGCGTACATTTTGGACTTGAAATTTGAAAATAGTTTATGCAACATTTTCAAATGAAACTAGTTACCAGTTACTTTTTACAAATTAGTCATTTTTTGATTAATTTGTACAGTTACCTCTCAAATGTAAATTTTAATAACACTAGTTTAAAATAATTTTTTTACTTGATATTTTTATTTTTTTGCCAAAGTTATTACTATTTTTACTATGTATAGTTTCGCGAGAATGAGAATTCTTTTAAGTTTTGAAAAACCTTTGGAGGATGTTAAGGAAACAAATAAAAAGGGGTAGATAGTAAGAGCCCTGTAGAAGCCTAAATTTGAAAATATTATAGGGCCGGGCTGACCGAAGGCCTATATTTTTAAAAATCCTGCAGAGCTCGGACTTGTTTTCTCTTGTCTTAAAAAAAATAAAATAGTGATTAAAATTTATTCGTGATAAGGAGAAAGCAATTACTCATTTTACTTGTTTATATTTATAAAATTGAGTATAATTTATATTTTTAATTAAATTTTTCCGTCCATGCAGATCTCGGGAGCCAAGCTGAAATTTTTTTTACAGGACTTCAGGGTATATTTTTAAGTTAAAAAAAATCCTTTTTTTGTGAATAAAATTTTATAAATTTTTCATTTATAGACTTGGCAAATCTAATTTAAAATTTAGCAAATAATAATTTCTAATTATTAAAAAATTAGAGCCGTTTTTAATATAGACTATAAATCCAACCTAATATCAGAGATCTGCATTTAATTTCCATCAAAAATTTCATCTTAAATTCTTAAAACACCATGGTTTATTTATTTTTTTGAAATAATTAATTATAAACAATATTCACTTATTTGTCAGGAATTTCGGAAGAATACATTTAGATTTTTCTTTGTAAAATTTTTAATTATTTTCCCCCTATGGTTTTGAAGAATTTTTTTTTAAAATTAACACTCTTCAAAATATTATTATTTAAAATTGAAATTTTATTTTATTTTATCAAAATAAAAATTGGAAAAATATTTAGGATATGGTATATAAGTATCAACTTATTTTTTTTTAAAAAAAAGATTTATTTAAAAAATAATAATTTTTTATTTTTTATACCTTTTATTTAAATACCCTGAAGCTATTTATTATCTTACATTTAGATTCATCAAATATTAAAATTTTAGTAAAAGATTTAACAACTTCTCTTTTAAAAAGTGTTAATATTTTGGATAATTATGTGAGGGAGAAATCTTTAAATCCCTCCCTATAACATCTTTGTAAAAATTATTTGAGAAATAAAATAAATAAATTGTAATCTTTTTACTCTCTAAATGTGATGGTTTCTGTTAAAATATAAATGATAGAAGTCTCGATTGCTTATGACAGGGACCTTGAATTGTTAATATATAAATTTAAGGACAATTATCACTAAAAAATGATGACAATTAAACAAATAATGGTCATTGATGATCGAGATATACCTTCTGGGAATTAAAATTTTGAGAGGTATAAGTATATTGACACTTATTATTCGCATATGGATTACTTTCTAGGATAAACCAGTCGATTAAAAAATGACATATTATATTTATTTATATTTGTTAGATAAGAAAATAAACAAAAAAAAAATTAATGCCCATGATAATAATAATAAATTCAAAGATTAATTTTGAGAAAATATAACCTCATTTATTTTTAAATTTATATATTATAATTTTTTTAAATATATATATAAGTATTTAAAAGGTAGAAATGATTTACAACTTAAACAAAATATATACCAGACAATTTTGGTTTTTATTATTAAGGTGCTAAAATTTACTTTTTATTATTTGTTTTTGATTTTTCAAAATAGAATTTATTAAATACGACAGTAGATTTAAATAACTTATTTTGCGAAATCGATACAATATAATCTCTTAAAATGTTTTTTTCCGAAAAAATGGCATATTTTATAAAACCTTGACTAGGTATATTTATAATATCTAGAATATTAACAAGAAACTCAATTTATTTTAAATGAATTACCTGCTCAAGGATTTTTTCTTACTGTTATTCATTTCTCTAGTATTTTATTCGAAATTACCAGTATATTGTAAAATATTTTTTCATAACATAATTGATAATATTTTATTAATCATTAGTTTAAATATAATATACCAGTATCTTTATGAGTCAGTTTCAGTAAATTTATCTTTTTCAGGGTTTTAAAAATTTTGAAATAAAATATATCATTTTATGGTTACATGTCAATGCAGTAAAAATTTTAGCGCGAAATGTATTATCGCGAAAGCATTACCGCGAATGTCGATTACCGATAATATTATATCGAATGCATTACCGCAAAGGCATTATCGCTAATATAATATCGTGAATGCATTATATCAAATATAATGCAGCGAAAATATTATAGCGAATGTAATACCGCGAAAGTGTTATCGCGAATGTATTATAGCGAATGTATTACCGCAAATGCATTATAGCGAATGAATTATCGCGTATGTATTATCGTGAAAATATCAAAGCGAATTTATTATAGTTAATGAATTAATGCTAATGCATTAATGCAAATGTATGATCGCAAATGCATAATCCCGAATGCATTATGGCAAATATATTATCTTAAATAAATTACATCAGTTGTAATATCAAGTATGGAGTTTGATGATAATTACAATTTTATATTTATCGGTCTTTAGACAGACTTAGTTGAACCTGGAAATTAAGTTAAAGTTGTGCTTGGGTCTAAAAACATTTTTTTTTGAAAAAAACGGGCTTAATTTTTTTTTTGACTCAAAGTATATAAAAAAAGATTCAATAAAATAGATTTCTCTAGGATTACTTTAAATGAATTACATTTATAAATTGATTGTTAAATAGGCGTTTAGTTATATTTTTTAATTAAATTGGGACAGGACACGCTCAGGCCTAAAAATAAATAAAGATTTTGGATAGAGCTTTGGCTGAAATAAATTAAATTTGCAACGCGCTAAGAAAAGTCTTATTTAAAACATTGAGTCAAATAGATAATTAGTTATCGGAAATCATTTATATTATTCTTTGACAAAATATGCTTTAATAAGGATTTATTATTGATTTGATAAGCGTTTTTTTATAATAAATTTGTATAAAGTTCTCTTAATGTTTAATCAAAAAGACAAGGCCACAATTATGAGGAAAAAGTATACTATATTAAATTTTGTCGTTGTATAATTTATAGGTAGGGTTTGAACTATTATTTAGTATTTTGTAAATTCACATACAATTATTTTCGGACTATGATGATTGTGAGAAATTGATCCAACAAGCCCTGGATGCCTATCCTGTGAATATTAGACGGTATTCTAGAGATCTTTTAACTAAACTTAATTTTGGTAAGGCGATAGTTTGATGGGTATTGATTTGCATTTAAAATCATTAATTAAGTACGTTTTATTAAATTTAAAAATTTGATTTTGCCAGCAATAAGTGTAGAATACACACTCTTAATGTTGCATAATCGGTTAATTTTAACCAATTCCAAGATCAATATAATGGGAACACGCACGTCTAGCCCAATTTTGAATAAATAAAAGTAAATGAGGGTCTTAAGTTATTTTTGTCAAATATTAGTATTTCAAACTTTCTAAAATACGACTTAACCTAATTATTAACAAAAATTGAGGATACTAAATTCCATATATTTTTTAATAAAATATGTAATTTCATAAATAGCAAGTGACATGTTTTAGAGTTATAAAAAATTTTGAAATGTGACGTTAAATAAATATAAAAACGTCAATTAGGCTGGTTGGCTGGTTTTTTGAAAAGGTCTGAACTTACTAAATGAGTTACAATATAATTAAAGAGTCTAAAGAATTTCCTTAAAGAAAAAGAAATCCGGTGGAAAAATATTATCGGTCAGGAATTTCCAAAAAGTAACAAATTTATGGTTTCCGATAATGATGAACTTTATTAGAAAGTAAGTGGATAAGTAGCAAAATATATTAATTATATCAACCATTTGTCAAATATAAATCACTATTGCATATGTGATAATGCTTTCACTGTAATGCATTCGCTATAATGCATTCGCTATAATGCATTCGCTATAATGCATTCGCTATAATGCATTCGCTATAATGCATTCGCTATAATGCATTCGCTATAATGCATTTGCTATATTGCATTCGCGATAATGCATTTGCGATAATGCATTCGGGATAATGCATTCGCGATATTACATTCGCGATAATACATTTTCTGTAATGCATTCGCAATAATAATTTTGCTGTAATGCATTTGCGATAATAATTTCGCCGTAATACATTCGCAATAATAATTTTGCTGTAATGTATTCGCGATAATAATTTCGTGGTAATGCATTCGCTCTAATGCATTCGCATTAATACATTCGCTATGATGCATTCGCAGTAATGTCTTCGCTCTAATACATTCGCTATGTTGCATTCGCGATAATACATTCGCTGTAATGCATACGCGATAATGTTTTCGCGGTAATGCATTCGCTATAACGCATTCGCGATACTGTTTTCGCTATGATACATTCGTGATATTGCATCCGCGGTAATGCATTCGCTCTAATATCTTTTCGTGATAATCAACATTCGCGGTAATGCATTCGCGATAATGCACTTCGCGGAAAAAGTTTCGCGGTATTGACGTGATACGAAATATATTATAATATGCTTCTTAATAATATTATTTGTACACATTTATTTTTTAATGTTATATATTTTTTCATGAATACTTTATAAGTTATTAAATACAAAATACAATTATTCCTAAGAAACTTGCGTATTAATTTATATTTCCAACATTTAAATTTTTTATACTTAATATATAAAAAAGGCTCAAAAAATTTAAATTTCTATTTTTGGTCATCCAATTAATATTTTATAATTCACATTTATTTTATAGTTTTTTTTTATGCCGCCGGTTATATCCATTTAATATTTCTTAATTCACTTATAGTTTTTTATATGCCGGTTTATATATTTAATTTTTTATAATTCACATTAATTTAAAATGGTATATTAAAGATAGTTATTAGTCTTAATAAATTTATGCTTGATATTTTTAAATAACAATAATTTTATCTTAAAAAAATTTAATTATCCCCCCCCCCCCCACTACAGTAAATTTTTGCATACGCGTTTGATTACAGACAGATAAGTTGAGATCGCAACAAATCTGAAATAAGCAAATATCATCACAAAAATCAACTGCATTCCTATGCATGGCTCCCTTTATCAAGACAGGGAACTCACTTCATTTTTAAAATTTTTAATTTCTATAGTAAGCATAATATAATGTTTATCAAAGTTTTACGCTTAAAAAATTTGATTTTATTTTAAGTGTGAAACTTTTATGAATTCAAGGAAAGTCTAATCTCTCATTTACCAAAAATAATTTATATCTATAATTTTTATTTATTATGTTGCTTTACCTTCGAACAATAAATTTTGCATTTAAATAAAAAATATAGGTAATATATTAAATAAACACTTGAATAAAAATAAAATTATTAAATAATAATATAATTTATGCAGATATTCAAGTTCAAACATTTTTTATTTTTGAAAAATAACAAAATTGTTGAATTTATTTATATTTTTTTTAAAGTATGAAATCGATATCATCATTTTCAAAAAAAACTTAGTTGCCTTAACACTCTGAATTTTAAGTAAATATTTATTCTTATAATTATATAACTTAAATAGCTTTTATTATGAAACTAACTAATCTTTAATAGATTCTTCTTGTGCATGGCCAAACATCATTTAGTCGACGGATTAAAATTTTTACTTCTCTATTAAGTTTATTTTAAGATAAATAAAACAATGCCATAATATATTTTTTTTATGAAATATAGATAAAGGTCAGTCAGCAGGGATAATTCTTTTTCATTGATTATATGATGCGCAACCTTAGATGTCTATCCTATGTTTTTTTTACTTATAAGCACTAATTTTAAATTATACATTACCTTTCAAGT